TCAGACACTAAAAGTACAATCAAGATACCATAATTACTATAAAATATACATTCTATACACAATGACATTTACTTATTAAACATTCAAGTTTAATTCTTGAAATTAAACTTCATGAATGAAATTAAACATTCAGAACAGTGAAGGATACAATAATGAAAGGTTCTGAATGTGAGACAGATCATTGATTGTGTCAAGAGTGGGTCTTGGGAAAAATAGGCACAGCAGCAAGGAAAGAAATGAAAAACTAGAACGAAAGAAGAATGGCTGCATGAAAAAAAAAGAAAGTTCAATTCCTATATGAAAAAAATATGAAGACAGATTAATCTCCTGACAGAATTAATAAAAGTGACCATAAGACCATAAACTGCTTGGAACAGAGTGAAATGAATGATGAGTTCAGTGATGCCACAGAAGCGTGTCGAGCTTATGCAAAGTATGAAAAAGGATGCTGAGTGGAATGATGAAGTGAAAAAAGCTACTGATGAGAAAACATGCATTTAAGAGAATGGTTGTTACAGAAATAAATATGAGAAAAAATATTGTATAGCTGCATAAATAGAAAAGATAGTTTCAAGGAAAATAATCAAAGGAAGCAAGGAGCAATCAAGTCTGAAAGAGGCAGACAAAATGCAGAGTGATTTTCATGGAAATAAAAAATTGATTTAGAAATGGATAGAGAGGGCTAAACAAGGACCTTCCAGCACAGTGAATGGAATTAAAATAAAAGTGATGAAATTATTTGAGATCAAACTGAAGAGAGGGTATATTGGAAGGAGCATTTTATTTATTTGCTTGTTTCTTTGATTTATATCCTGCCATAATTTCCAAGGACTTTTGGCAATGAACAATAACATTGGAATCATACAATAATTAAAAGATCCATGGTACATAATAGAGAAAATTGTTTGGGAATTATAGTGATATGTTGAATAGTGGAACTGAAACACGATATTATTGGCTGAGAAACTGAATTATTTTCAGTGAATGTTAAATAGATTGTATGATGCAATGAAGAGAATGGATTGAAACTTGATTCATTGAAGGCCAAGGTAGTTGTGTTTGACAGGGAAAATGGAGCAAATGTTTGCAAGTTATTCATAAATGGCAAGTAATTAGAGCAAATAGATGAATTTCTAAGAATCTAAGAATGAACCTGATAAATGTTTATTAAAAGTGGGGAAATGGATGGAGAAATTTTAGATGTACAAATGGTGGGTAGTAGATCACATGCAGTATGTAGAGCATGTATGGTATGTAGCTTAGAAAAATGAATGTTTATCAAACAAGTAAAAATGGATGTACAAGAGTGTGCTTCTACCCACTTTGTTTTATAGATGTTAGAGTTTAGGAGAATCATAAAAATAGAAGGAGAGTAGGAATGCAGTACTTAAAAGTGTGAAGTAAAACAAAATGTGACAGGGTCAAGAACAAGTCGGCGCTGAGTGCATGTGGCAGGAATACAAATGTACTCAATGCAAAGTACACTGAGGAAGTTTGATCACATGGGGAGAATGGATGAACTGAAAAATAAATATATGAATGAAGAAGGAATGTGTCAGGAGGAAAGGGGATACTGAAAAAGTTGTGGCTGAAATAAGATCCTCAAAATAAGAGAGATGAGCTTAAAAAACAAAAGGCAGTGTTTTGATGCACAGACTTGGTGGAAGCAAGAGTGGTTCTCAAAGATAGGTTTGGAGAAGTGTAGTGAATGGGGTTGGTGTATCCTGATTTAGATGTATTTACTTTTCTTTTTCTTAACTCATCTTATTCCTTTAATTTTCTTGGCTTGCTATCTCTTACTCCTTTTCTCAACTTTGCTTAATGTCACTTAGTCCAAAAGGGAATAGTACGATGGGTATGTCTGTGGTTTGGTTAACCATAAACTGAATTACTAAATGAACTATGTTCACCTTGTCACTATTTGCTGAATCCTGTTTATTGAACAAAACACACTTGGCTGCATTCACACAATATGCCATGCCAAAATCAAACCAAAAGCATTATGGCTTAGAGCAGGGTTGCTCAACCTTGGTGACTTGAAGA